CTACTGTAAACTATTTCTGAGTTAAACTATGCTGAATGTGTTTATTAACCTACTGTAAACTATTTCTGAGTTAAACTATGCTGAATGTGTTTATTAACCTACTGTAAACTATTTCTGAGTTAACCTATGCTGCATGTAATCATTAATCTACTGTGAACCATATCTTTAATTATTAATTTGCTATTTCTTTCCATAAAGGGATCAGCAAGTTATCTTTATGAAATGCCTTGTTGTGATAATCTCACTCCAAGAAAGACAAAATAAGTCAATAGTCAGAACATTAATTCTTTGCTACTTCAGACCTAATCCATAAATTCAATTTTCCCAGTGAGAAAAAAAGTTCAATAAAAAATAACAATTAAAAGTAAAAGAATAAGTTGTTTTGGAACCAAATATAACATGTGATATCAGCATCACCCAGAAAAAAAAAATGGTGCTAAACACTTACCCTAAAACTTAAGACTCACAGCTCTTAGCAAAATGATGCCTGGAGGAAGCTCTGTAAAGTCTATATGTTTACCTTATTTTCATTCTTTTTTTTTAGATTTTTGTAATAGCTGTACACACATATATATAACCATACCTACAACCATATTATCTGTTAAGTAGTTTTCAACTACCTGTATTATGATTACCCAACAGTCAAGGTCATTTAATACAGAATAGCCTGACAGCTAAGGTTTTCTAACATAGGATACCCTGATAATCAGAGTCTTCTAAAATAAGTTAAACATATACGTCAATTTAAAAGAAGCACCGTAAAAAATTTATATCACTTCATCAACAGTTCTAACACATAATAATGCTTTTTCAAAACCATGTATACATACCACATCAAACTTGTTCCAAGCATTGTAATCAAAGCTAGAGATTCTCACTGGTTTTTGCTCAGCTGAATTTTCATTTTCACTTGTTTTAACTTCTTTTTTCTTCTTCTTGGTTTTTGGCTTTGATATTTTGGTACGAACTGGTGGTAGGTCCTACGACAACATGGAATCAGCATATGGAAGTTAGTCAAACAACAAATATTCAAGTATTACTACCCCAAAACTGCTAAAATCTCTAAATATTTAAATAAATTTTCCTTAGTTTTGTAAAGCTTAGAATATTGTATCAACTTGAATTACAGAAAAACTTTTGTGTTTCTGAAGTACACGTTTTATTATAGTACATGTAGTACAGTTGAACATAAAATAACCAATGTAACACTGAAACTTGCAAGGTGTTATTGGGTTTATAGCCAAAAATATTGTTAACAGCTTTGCTCATTACAAGATATATATATATATATATATGTTTAATAATGCTTGGAGACGGCTTGAATGGTTAATGAAGAAAAACTTTCAACCACTTCTCACTGTCGTGTAAAGTTTAATTTTACCTTGTTTTAATCAAAAACTTATTCTAACTTGCTATTTTAGTAATTTTTCATTCCAACAATAAACACAGCCAGCTTGGTCTGGAGATATTTTGTGTTGGAAAACAAGGCGGATTATTTCGCAAGGTGCACCCTTTGTTCCACCATGATATCTATGAGTGGCACATCACCTGAGATGTTTGGAACCAAATCACTGAGAAATCATTCCACTTCATTTCATAAAGACAAATTTGCAACCAGGCAGAGCAACGAAAATGAGAACAAGAGGAGAAAACGTGATGACGAAGATGCCGCTGCTGAACTTTCGATGGCCAAGAGAAGTAAAATGCAATATGTCATTGATTACTCATGGCATTATGGTTAAATGTAATAAACATCAATTTTGTTTTTGTTTCTAATTTTTGTGTATGTTGTTGTGTTTTTTTTGGGGGAGGGGCAAGGAGAGAAACTGGTCCCGGTTGACATCCAGCCCCGGCCGAAGCTTAGTGGCCAGGTTGTTTGTTGATAACTATGAGATTACTTAGCTTTTAAAGCTTTCTTTTGTTTGTATAAAAATAAGATATTACATAGAAATATTCTTGATTATTTTATGAAAAATATTAGATTTAACATGTATCATTTACATGTTCATCTCTTGGCAGCAGGTAAAGAGATCAACATTTAAAATAGATAAAGCATCAAAGCCAAACAAGATTTTCAATAAATTTTTAAAAGAGGTCAAAGATCATATATGCGAGTCTCTCTCTTTCACTTGTGACAGGACATTACATAGTGGGCAAGTGTTTAGGGATTGGAATGTTACTAAAATTACTACTATTTAAAAAAAGGGGAGTGATAAAGCATTACCCTGGAAATTATAGTAAGGCTTATTTCTGTAGTGTGAAAACTTCTAGTTTGATAAAATAAGCTTTATAAAATCATTTAGTGGAATATATGATAAATTAAAGTCAACATGGATTCACCAAAGGGAAACCATACCTTACTAATATGTTATATTTTCATTTTTGAGGATGTTATATTTTATCTGGATGACAGAAAGGGAGTGGATTTGGTGTACTTACACTAAAGGACTTTTGATAGGATGCCATACAAAGGATTAGCTAAAGAAATCACATCAGCAGGGATGGTAAGGACTAATTAAGATAGTATATATACCCTTTACGTAGTGTTATCTAGGTTTGGGCCTTTTATCAAAAAAACATTTTCATGCTATGCTTCTTGTATAAAAATATATTGAGATAGATACAAAGACATATTCTGGTACATGTTGTGTAACATTACTACTGTGGCTAATTTGCATAATATAAAAATACAAAAGAAATTTTATATGTTCCTGATAATTTCTACAAAAATGACTGAATGCTCCTGAAAATTAGTCCAGACTTTGATGGGACGTGAAGAATTAGCCTGAACTGAGGAACGTACAGGGGCTAAGGGTTCAAAATATGCAAACAATTAATTGTTTATATTTTTGACATTTAAAGGGTATACGTTATCTTAATTGGATTGTAGGATGGTTATATAGAGGAAAGCAAAAGGTTATTAATGGAGTCCAGTAAAACTGGGCCCTTATTACCAGTTAAGTGCATCACAGGTCAATACTTTGGCCTTTATATTAACAATATTGAGATGAGAATAACTAGGAACTTGGTTACTTTTAGTTATACTGAAAATTTTATATAATGGGCAAATACTTAGCTAATGAACCTTAATCACAGTAATGCAATATAATACATTGGAATTATCACAAATTGTATCAAACATTTAATACAGATTAGTACCCACTCAATAGTGTGACTCAAGAAAAGGATCTTGCTATATTAATGGATCTGATAAGCTGCTCAAGACATTAAAGCAGTGCTCTGTTGCTTGTAATAATGCCAAAAGAATCTTAAAGCATATTTATACTATATATATATACACATACATGTATATAGTGATATTACAAGGAAATAATTCTCTACACAAGTCATTAGTTGGGCCTCACTTGGAATGTTGACTAATTGGAAAAGGTTCAGAGGACTACTAGAAAAATTCCAAAGATGGAAGAGTTATCTTACAGGAATAGGTTCAGATATCTCATTTCCTCTTGAGAAATTAAGGGTATGAAGTAATCTCATTGAAGTTTACAAGATTATCAGGGAAATGAATAGGAAAAATCTCTGATATCTTTGTGCTATATTATGAAAACAGAAGGAGAGGACACAAGTTTATAATTAGGAAATACAGGCTAATCTCTTGTTAACTGTTAAGTATTTCACTTCTCTAACAGGGTTATTAGCTTATGGAATGAGTTGCCATCAGAACATAGTGGGGGGGGCAGCATTTAATAAAGAGTTCATACGAGGAATTGAATATTTGCTGCAAAAATAAAGGATGGATATGTAACTAACTGCAAGAACAACCTTGAAAGTTGAAAGCCAAAGGTGTTCTAAAAATTGCAGTATACATGACAACATACCAAAAAGTCAAAGCCAATATTGTAAAGCCATGGCTATTGCCATGAACAGAAAGGTGGCAATAAAAGCCACTGACTTACTATTTCAACTGACTGGTGGCAGTCACTGTTATGGAAAAGCTATTGACACTGATATCAACAGTTTAATTTAGCTCGCCTGACTAACCCAAATATTTAACATGATTTGTCACAAAATTCTGACATCAATTATCATGAGCTGACTGATACTAATAGCAGTAGCAGGGAAGAATATAAACATATACACATTGTGACAGCCTTTTCTTCTTTCTGGAAATTTAAAACTAGTCTAGATCAACTTAAAAAGAAAGGATCTCATGAGGAGAATTGCACTTTTGTAGGCATTGGGACTTCCCATCTATTTTAATTTACTGTTATCTGTGTCAGGGAAGACTATTAATAAAGTACAATCACAAAAGGGCAGGTAAAAAGTACTCAAATGTATTAATCAGTTCGTCACAGTTTAAATATACATGCTACATTGTGTCCACTATGGTTGTAGATATACTACCTAATATCATGCACTTGTGATGATGTATTACTACATTTGCAAAGCACTGATTTACTTGGGGTGCACATGTCATTATTGTTGCAACAGCCACTTCGATACTATAGTATAAATATAATTGATATCTCTTATCAGTAGGTCTGTCAACTATCAAAGGTTGGTGTGACTTTTGCACCAAGTTACATCTTATCAATATTATTTGGATAAGCAGTGTTAAGCCTAATAGTATAACTGCGGTCAGACTTTACCTTCAAAAGTTCTGTTTCCGAACGTTTTTGTGATTTCAACTCCTCATCTTTGCGTTTGATTTCACTTTCCCAGTTGTTCAGTTCTCTTAAAAAACTTTGAAGATCTTCATTATTTTCTCGTATTTGATGTTGAAGCTGTATGGCCTTATCTGAATCCATATTTTATTTTTACTAATTTAGATTTTAGATAACAACTTAGTCACAAATCATATAAAACTCACTAGTCTGTAATCAGATTCTAGACTTAAAACATATCCGTAATTTCAAATAAACTCTTCATAAACTAACAAATACACGGAGCGCCATCTACGAATTCTGCATTGCTAAAAACGAGTTACAAGAAATATGAAACACGAATGTAACATTTGTTTTCTTGTCATTTAATTCCAGCCGTTTGGGCTAGCAGGTCATTAGAAGGTTGCACAAAGTGATGAGATTAAAATCAAAATTGATAGTATATACTGGACGTATAAGTGCACCAATTCTTGAAGAGTTGTATTTATTGATGAAGTTATGATTTAGAAAGGAAGTATATTTATTTTTAAAAACAAATTGCAGAACAAATTAGAGAAAGGCAAAAAAGAAAAAGAATCTTTCAGCTATCTGAATAAATTTGACATTAGGTTATCCACTTGTTTAGAATCATCTACTGGAAGTGACATGACATACAAGTTTAAGAGATGTTTTAATACTAGAAACAAACGACCTTTTTATTTAATTGGACACTCAACGTTTTAATGGTTTGTGTTTTAGTGGAACGCTCCTGAAGAAGCTGTAAAGCAGAAGTTTCCAAACTGTGGTCCACAGGCCCCTCGGGGTCCGCAGTAATACATCAAATTTAT